GCATGACGTTGTGGTCTGTGGCCACCCTGCCTTGTGCTTCCAGAGCTGGGGAGCCTGGAGGAGCTGGAGAAGAAGAGGGTCTGTCGCATCATCACCACCGACTTCCCTTTGTACTTCGTGATCATGTCACGGCTCTGCCAGGACTTTGACACCATTGGGCCTGAAGGCGGTTCCCTGAAGAGCAAGCTGGTGCCGCTGGTGCAAGCCACCTTCCCCGAAAATGCCGTCACTAAGAAAGTGAAGCTGGCTCTGCAGGTGACAGCTCCCCTGCCTTGCTAGGTCCCCCTTCCTCCTCAGGATGACCCATACTTCCAGGAGGACCTTAGAATTCCACCTGAGAGGAAGTGTAGGGGAGAAAGACAGCAGGGGGATGAGGTGAGGAAAGTGTGCCTTATGCCTACCAGTTCTAATGCAGAAAGGGTTCTGGCTGCTCTCCTTGAGAGCTGAGTGGTGATGTCAGCCTGGGTCCTGCTCTGGGCATGGTAGAGGCAGTGGTCCAGTCTCCTGCCACAAGTCTTTGCCCTATTGGAGGGTGCCCAACTGTCACCCATCAGACCAGCCCTCTTTGTACCACACAGGCCCAGCCCGTCCCGGATGAGCTGGTCACCAAGCTCCTGGGCAACCAGGCCACATTTAGCCCCATTGTCACTGTGGAGCCACGGCGCCGGAAGTTCCACCGCCCCATTGGACTCCGCATCCCACTACCTCCTTCCTGGACAGACAACCCAAGGGACAGTGGGGAGGGAGACACCACCAGCCTGCGCCTGCTCTGCAGTGTCATTGGTGAGAGGTGTCCCTGGCCATCCCATTTTCTTGTGGCAACAGCTCCTTCTGGAACACACTGTGGGGAGACAAAAGGGGTAAAGCCAGCAACCGCTTGGACTTTAGCAACCACTGATTCTGGAGGTGTCATGCTGTCCTGAGAGGGAGTGGTGACACCTCTAAGTAAGAGGCAGGAAGGGCCTGCTGCACTGGGATAGGGCACTGCGGGTCGCCAGGAAGAGGGGTAGATTATGGGAGAATAGGTGCACTCAATGACACCTCTGCCGGTGAGCTCCAGGGCCTGGGCACCTTTGAGCTCCATGGCTATGCCAGGAGAGTGTGCCCAGCTGCCCTTCTGCTGCTGTTGCAGGTGGAACTGACCAAGCCCAGTGGGAAGATATCACAGGAACTACCAAGCTTGTGTATGCCAATGAATGTGCCAACTTCACCACCAATGTCTCTGCCAGGTAAGGGGAGGCCTAGTGTGGCATAGCAGGCACTCAAGGCTGCCACCAGCAACCCCTGCTCAGGCCTGGACTGCCCTCTGGACTGAACTCCTCTGTCCCCAGCCATGAGGTGGGGCTGTGGCCACTGAACTCAGATGGCCTCGCCTCTCGGTCCCCCAGCCCAGGAGACCCTCATCGCCCACACTGTCTTTCTAGGTTTTGGCTGTCAGACTGTCCACGGACTGCAGAGGCTGTGAATTTTGCCACTCTGTTGTACAAAGAGCTGACTGCAGTGCCCTATATGGCCAAGTTTGTTATTTTTGCCAAGATGAATGACCCCCGGGAAGGGCGGCTGCGGTGCTACTGCATGACAGATGACAAGGTGGACAAGACCCTGGAGCAGCATGAGAACTTCGTGGAGGTGGCCCGGAGCAGGGATATAGAGGTGTGGCACCTGGCCCCCATGTGACTAGACCCTGGCAGGCCTTTATCACCTCACCCAAGCAGATCCAGCCACAGAGCTAGGGTGGGGCTCCCGCTGGCTCCTGGGGCTGTGGTGACCAGGGCTGGGGGGAAGTCCTCAGGATGGGGGGCAAGATCTCTGTCTTGAAAAGCATCTCAGATAAGCTGGCACAAGCATGGAGACACATCTATGTGTACCTCAGGGTGGCAGCAGTTGGGTGACCCAGAGTCTTTGGTGTCAATAAGCACTGACAGTGGAGTGATTTCATCGCATGACCTTGATTAATTCTCATAATTGTCGGTACCACTAGTGTCCCTGACTTACATGTGGGGAAGCTGAGGGTCAGAGGCAGAGGTGAGGTAACTCACTCAAGGTCACACAGTGAGAAAAGGGTGGAGATGGAATGTGTCCCAGCTGTCCAGCCCCAAAGCCTATGCTGCTGCCCACTGGGCTGGGTTTGGTAGCTGAGGCGACAGGGATGCTGGTAGACGGTAGTGGGAGATGTCAAGTGCTGAGAGTAGATGTGACCCCACTTCTGGCCTGGGAAGCCTCTTGGGGACATTCAAGGCCGAATGTCGAGAGCTCGATGCACTGGTTCTAATACTGTCTCAGTGTTCACTAGGCACAGCAGTTATTTCCACGGAGCCTCAGTTTTTGCAGTTGTCAGATAGGTCTCTGAGACTATATTGGTTTATGTACACAGACAAAAACATGCCATAGTCTTTCTAGCACTTCTTATGGGCTACACACCTTTGGCAGAGGTGAAAACAGACCCCGGAGTCTTTCAGGGGCTGTATCACAATGTCCTGGAGGTGTTCTAGAGTCCTTGATAGCAAGCACCTTCTGCGCTTGGGCACAGGAGGCAGTTGCTTGCCGGGGACTCCTGTGGAGGGAGGAAGCTTGCCTCGCCCTCATGTCTCAGACAGGGAGCTCGTCCAAGTCCCTGGGCTCTCAGAACACACCCCAAGCATCACACTGGGACAAGGGCTTGTCCAGGGGAGGGAAGCCGATGCCAGAAGCAGGCTCCCTGGGCATTCCACATGACCAGCTGTGTTTGCTTTCTTGCCCTCCAGGTTTTGGAAGGAATGCCCCTTTTTGCAGAACTTTCTGGGAACCTGGTGCCTGTCAGAAAGGCTGCTCAGCAGCGCAGCTTCCAGTTCCAGTCCTTCCGGGAGAACCGCTTGGCCATACCTGTGAAGGTGCTGCCTCCTCCTGCCACACTCCACCCCCACCCCGGGGAGGCAGCTGTCTGTAAGCCTACCTGCCTGGCAGCCTTGGAAAGGCCTGCTGAGTCTTCTTTGTGTGGTTGCGTTTAGGTGAGGGATAGCAGTCGAGAGCCGGCAGGGTTCTTGTCATTCTTACGCAAGGCCATGAAGTACGAGGACACCCAGCACATCCTCTGCCACCTGAACATCACCATGCCCCCCTGCACCAAGGTGAGCTGCTGCCTGGTGAACCCCCAAGACCAGAGGTGGACTCCCCCAGGAGGCCCCTAGTGAACCCAGGATCAACACTTCACAGGGCTTCTCACTGGCAGTGGCCCAGGCTCTCCTTTGTCTCCTGCTCCAAGCTCTCCCCACCCTCTCTGCACGCTCAGTCCCACTTTGTCATGTGACACCAGGCACAGCACCAGCTGCTCAAGGTCACCAGCCGCAGGACCCCTGTGACTCAGTCTCTTTGTCATTTACTTACTTATCTTCCCCAGGGTGCTAGGCCCTCAGAGAAGGGAATCCTGGTGTCCTCTGCCACTGCAAACAGCCAGGGCTCTGAGCTCAGCCAAGGAGCCTTGACCAAGTATGTTCACGTATCAGTACCTGTGAGAGTATCGAGTCCCCTGCGCCAGGCCCAGGACTGCTCATGTGTTTGCGGAGTGTCTCCGTGCTTCCTGTTGGTGTTGTTCTGCTGCTGCTGTTGTTGTTGTTTTACTCATCAGCCTTCCATGCTGACCTAGAAACGAAGCACAGTCACGTTCATGTACCCATGGCGCAATTCTTCTTTTTTTTCTGAGGACGAGGGGCAAGCAACTTTTCTCTCAAAAGCCATTTCCTGCAACCTCAAGCAAACGTGACCCTGGGTGATGTCCCTGCCAGTGTCAGAAATGGGGCTGGTGAAAAGAAAGAGATTCAGCAAGAGAAAGTTAGTTTGAAGTTCAGACCCCAGGTTCACTGCTTTCACTGGGTGACCTTGGGCAAGCCTCTTAAACTCTCTATGCCTCAGCATCCTTGGGGGCAAAATGGGAATAGTAGTCTTACCTATCTCCCATGTTGTTGTGAGCATTAAGCAGGCCTCAGGCATGAGAAGAGTTCCGTGAGCTTGCCGTTACTATTGATAACATTTGAGTTTTGTCAGCTTCTTTGCACCCCCGCCCCTTCCTGTACTTCCACTCTGCTTCCAGAGAAACACAGTGCTGCCTGCCCGCCAGGACCGGGGGCACCATTCACCTGCCCACAGCATGAGTGCTCAGACCACTTTCTTCAGGAAAGAGAACGCCCAAAACCCAAGGTGCTCTGTCTTTGCCTTCTCCCTACAGGGGACTGGAGCTGAAGACAGGAGGAGGACCCTGACCCCCCTGACCCTGCGGTACAGCGTGCTCAGCGAGTCGGGTCTCGGTAGGCACCCATGGGGATGCACTGCTTCCCCTGACGAGGGTGGCTGGTACTCACATCCCACGTCTTGGCAGGGCTTCGCCAGGCTGCCATCTCCTCAGCCTGCTCTGTCCACCATGAGTCACGCCTGAGACTCAGTCCCCACTGCCCTGCAGTCAGCGCTGCAGGGTGACCTGAGTGCCCACCTGCCAGGGGGCACTTGCTTGTACCTGACAGCCCTGTAATGGCTGGGCTGCTCAGTGTGATCTCTCACCCCCAGGTTTCCCCAGCGGGACAGACCGAGAGGATCTGAAGGTCGCTGTCATTACAGAGCATCTTGGCCTCAGCTGGGCAGGTGAGTTGGGGGCGGGGCAGAAAGGCCCTGCTCTGGCTGATCCATCATCTCTCCTCCCTGAGAGGCAGTGGGCATAGTGTTTTCCTGATTGTTTGACTTGTGATGGTCTGGGGCATATTATAAAGCTGCGCTACCCAGGGCCAGGGAAAGCAGCACACTCCCTTCTCCATTTCTCTGGCTTCCTTTGGAAGAAAGACTTGACAGCAGGTTCCTGGAGGCCTCTAAATGGCTAGTTAGCTTATTTTGCAGATAGGAAAATTAGGATCTAGGATCCAGCTCATTAGAGTGGCTTGATTGCTGAGCTAGCTAGTGACAAGGTCCAGAAAAACCAAACAGATAAGCAAAGCAAGTGTCCAAGTGCCCCATGCACTGCCTGTTCCACTCTGGATGCTGCCTTTCCTGGAGAGTGGAACATGGGGGCATTGGGTTTCTTCTCTGTGATCTTGTCCAGCAGGGCATATCTGACCCAAAGCCACAGGCTCTGCAGCTTCATTCTCTCTCCCCTGCTGTCTGTCTGTCTGTCTGTCTGTCTGTCTGTCTGTCTGTCTGTTAGCTTTCATACAAATGGACTCCTGCCCTCTCTCACATACCCACATGGGCAAACTCAGAAATCTTACAAAAACTTGCTGAAAGGTCATGTTATAGGAGCTCAGAAGCTCAAGGTCTGTTCATGCTTTAAACCACGTCTCCTCTTGATTCTTGAAGTGTGTTTGCACATATGTGTGTGGCAAGTTATGTGTATGCATCACTGTGTATATACATGTGTTTGTGTGTGGGAAGCAGTGTGTGTCCCTGATTGCATTGCTCATGTGTGCATGTGTGTGTTGTGTGCTAGTTTGTGGGTGTTGTACACACATGTTCTGATTTACACTTGCTTTCGCTTCAGGGTTCCTTTCCTTGAAATTACTCTGAGGTTCTCTTCCTTCTAAATCCTGATAGTGAGGGAGCTTGGATTCCCTTATCAGTCCCACCTTCTCTTGGTAGCCTGTCCCTACTGGAACCTGGCAGAGTATGTGGCCTCCCAGTGTGGTGCAGGCCCCACTGCCCCAAGAACCAGCACCTCAGCCCCTTCCCAGCTCAGAGACTAGCTTGCCCTTAACTTAGACGAGTTGCTGGCCTTGTTGAGAACTTATTCTCATCAGCTCAGGTTAGACATCATTGAAAAAGGGCATCTGTGGGTTCACTCATTCATCGATGAGTATTTCCCAAGCCATTCCCTGTCTGGACACAAAGGTGCAGAAACTCACTGCCAGGGGGCCTTCCTGGGGAGAGAAGGATGCACTGTACCCCTAATGTTTACCCTGCTCTCCATTTTTCACTTGCAGAATTGGCTAGGGAGCTGCAGTTCAGCGTGGAGGAAATCAACAGGATCCGGGTGGAAAACCCCAACTCCTTATGGGAGCAGAGCGCAGCCTTGCTGAACCTCTGGGTGGCCCGGGAAGGCACAAATGCAAAGAGTCAGTACTCAGCTGAGGAAGCCTCTTTCCACTTGCGCTCTCTCTCTCTCTCTCTCCTCTCTCTCTCTCTCTCTCTCTCTCTCTCTCTCTCTCTCCCCCTCTCTCTCTCATCAGAGGTGTCCCAGGTAGTCCCCCCAGGTCACATTACCATGACCAGCAATTCTTGGCCTCAGTCTCTCTCCCTCCTTAGAGTAAGATACAAATTGTCCAGGCCCCCATAGGGCAGCCTACAGGTAAGATTTTGGATCTCATCATGTAGCTCCTCCTGTGGGATTTCCCAACCACATGAGTGTTGGAGTCTCAGGCCAGGGTGGGATGGGCTGTCAGCCAGTGTTGGTGGCACCTCAGGGCTGAGCTCCAGCCCATGTGGCTGTCTCCCCGCCTGGGGCATTTTCCCCACCTGGAGGAAGGTTGGTGTCACTCTCCTCAGAGCCTCCTCAGTCAGGTTCTAGTCCTCAGTGATAATAGGGGAAGTTGGGCATTTACATTTGTATCCAAAATCAACTGGCAAGGACCCAGAATTTCCGGAGAACAGCTCATTCTCATCTGCTTTTCCTTGTCGTATTCCTCTTAGATTATAAACAAAAACTTACCAGCCTTTCTGTGCTTTTAAATTGGCTACTCAGGGAGCTGGGGAGGTAACTCAGGGTAGCGTTCTTGCATGTGCAAGGCCTGGGAGAGGCACTGTTATTTTATGGAAAAGATCTGTTGTAGATAAGAAAGAATTGTCCATCTAAGTTTGATTTTGGCAGAAGAGGTCCTCCACTTTCTGAAAGCCTTAGCTTCCTCCCTCCCCTGGCCCTGTTTTCAGGCCTGCACAGTCTCCCTGGGGCTCTAGAATCACTCGCCTCCCCTTTCCCTCCCTTACAGTGGAAAACCTGTATGCAGCCCTACGGAACATTGACCGGAGTGAGATTGTGAATATGTTGGAGGGCTCTGGCAGACAGAGCCGCAACCTGAAGCCAGATCGGCGGCAGGCAGACCGGGACTACTCACTGTCGCCCTCCCAGATGAATGGTGAGTATCCCCTGGGTAGAGGTGAGGCCAGACAGGGTGCCCTGCCAGCTGCCAGCACCAATGATCCCTTCCTGCAGAGCCTTGTCCCCGAGACTCTCTCACCTCAGGTGGGTGGGAGGCTGGTTGGCTGGCAGTGAGCTCCACCTCCCAGGTGTGGCACACCTGTGTGGGTGTGACCAGGGCAGAGTAGCCCCTGCCTGCCACCTCTGTACCTGGGTCCCAGCAGGCCTGGTATGGTGGGAGGGAGCTGGAGTCAGAAAGCACCTGGCTGGACCCTCGTCCCTAGAGTCTGGATGCTCTGTGTCACCCTTCACAAGACACAGGCGCTTCCTGGGCACTGGTGTCTCAGCATGTAGAATATTTGATTGCCAGGAACAAGGCCCAGCACCTCATATGTATTAGCTGGTGGTGTTAAAAAGTCCCACTGTGGCCCTTTTTAGAGACTAAATGGTTTCCTTTGAGCTCTCTCTCTCTCTCTGTCTCTCTCTCTCCCCGCTCTTTCTCTCCCTCCCTCCCTCCCTCCTTCCCTCCCACTTTCCCTCCCTTCTTTTGCTGTCCATTTCTCACCTGTCTACCCTCCTTACTCTGCTGTGGTTCAGCAAGACAGGGAGCCCCACGGTGACAGCCCCAAGGAGACAAAGTACAGGTGACCCCACCATGTCCCCACCCCTGTCAGCAGCACTGCCCTGTAGGAGCAGAGCCTTGGCACCCACACCATCCCCATGTCACCCTCTGTAGCCAGTGGCACAGAGCCATGGCCCCATGCACCCTGGCCCTGAACATGGCTCAGTGGGCCTGGCTTCCAGGCCCTTCCTTCCTGCCACCCCCCTGTGGCCGAGCCATCATCTTTGAAGTCAGATCCCCAAGATCCCTTACAGAACTTGAAAAATAGTGACTCTGTGAACCATCACCTGGAACAGCTCTCCGGTGGTGCTTGTTGCCCACCACCCTTGTGTAGGACTGCTCCAGCCATACAACATACCACTCAGCTCCAGGGGCTACTGGCCAGGGACTCCCTCCCATTCTCTCCTGTGTCCTGTGTGTCCTGACTGTGCCATCCAGTGCCCCCGATGCGGGGCCCATCCTCTGTTGGTCGTGTCCTGTGGCCCTCTTTTTCTGCCTCTGACTTCACCCTGGCCTCTCGTTCAATCACCCTTTCTCACCCTCTGTCTCCACTGTCTCCACTGGGGCCCACTGTACAAGAGCTGTCCACCTCCACAGATGCATGTCACAAAGGACCCGGCCCTATGCGCCCCCGGCTGTCTCCATGGGCATCTGTGTGTGTGCGAGTGTGCACGGCGTGTTGTCTGTGTCGCCTCGTCGTGGCTGCTGACTGTGCTCGCTCACTCTCCAGGTGCACTGGAAAGGGCTCCACCCCAGGACTGCACCACTCTCTGGGGACCTGGGTGCACACGAAAGGTGGCCGAGCAGGCCAGCTCCTTTCCCCAGAGGGAAAAGACAGGGGAAATTCTTCATACTTCAGGACACCCAAGTAACAAAACACCAGTCCCTTTCTGTGGGACGTGGGCTTCTGAATATCCCGTTCTGTTTCATTCAAGTCTAATCAACAGGCTCTGGATTTTTATACCTCCATTTAGTACCTCTGGAGATAACAGGCCACTAGAATCCTGCAGGGAAGGTCTCCACTGGGCACACAGCTCTTCCCAGTCAGCCTGAGAAGCATTAATCCCTAAAGGCCTGGGTTTCCATGTACTGCTCCATGCCTGGGAGAAAGGGCTCTGCCACTGTGGCTCAGCTCATATGGCAAATATTTTTCGGGCACCAGCTACATGCCAGACACTGTTCTAGACAGAGGAGAAATGAGCTGTTAAGGAGACAAGAAAGAAAACCAACATTCTCCCTTCTGTCAGGAAAGCCAGGCAATTACATTAAGGAACCATATAATGGGCTAACAGGTCATCCCGGGTGACATTGGGGAAATTCCAGGACTAGAGTTTTAAAAAGTGTGGTGGAGGCAGCTGCATTTGAACAAAGACATCAAGGAGATAAAGGAGGGAGCCATGGACAAACGCTGGGAAAGAGTGTTCTAGGAGAGCAGGAGGGCAGTGCGCCTGCATCCTCACAGGCAGAACAAGAGGGCAGAGGAGCCAGGAGAGGGAGGTGAGAAGGCCATGGGCACCTGGAGCTGCCCTGGAGCCTGGCTCTCGGATGCTGGGTTTTGTCCATGGGTGTGGCTGAGAGAATGACCTAGGTTTCTGAAGGGTCCACTCCCTGCGTTGTGGGTATGAGAGGCCATTCACTGGGTGTTCTGTCCTTCCCAGCTCCTTTATATTGCTATCACCCCGGGGCCCCCTCCCAGCAGGTCTTTTGCTGGCCTGGGCTTGCTGTCCCTCACACACCTCTCCTTGCAAACAGAAGTCCAGTTTGGCCCCTTCCACTTTTTAGACACCAAAGTTGGCTTTTATGTCTTTCTCCACCCTGGGCCCTGTCCTGAGATGAGAAGACTCATCCTGGTGTGGAAGGAAGGGTGCCAGAGGGCTCAGGGCCAGGGTGAGGGGTACAGTGTCCTCCAGCACTGTCACCAGCTCTGTTCTGTGCAGAACCATGTGATAGCTTGTCCTAGCGACAGCCATCTCTGTTGATGGATGGCCAGCACCGCTGTTGCATGGCCCCTTTACACTGCACTTCATTCTCTGCTGGTTTAGTCCTCCTTCAGAAGGAATTAGTTGCTCTTATCCTGAGTCTGAGGAGCAGTGGCATCAGGAAGTTGGGCTCTTCCCTCTTCTCTTACCATGCAGGCTGCAAAAGGATTAAGTGAAAAGGCTAGTTGGCTTCTCCCTTCTTCCACAGGAATTATCTCAGGCCTGTTTTAGAGATGTCAAGAAAAAAATTCTGGGCCAGGGAGATAGCTCAGTAGAATAAGTGCTTGCCTGGCAAGCACAGGGTCCTGAGTTCAATACCTGGTATGGCAAAAAGAAAAAGAAAGAAAATGCTTACTAGACAAAAAATACCATGTCCTGAAAATGGAACAGACTTCTCATATGAAAGGAAAAAATGGTGATCTCACCCCCTTGCCAGTTCAATTTGGTCTACTGAATTGTAATAATGTCTAGTGAAGAACAAAATTTGTTTTACTGACATCAACTCTTAACGGATGCAACTAGAAAAGTATGGCTTCTTTCTGAGGCCAGACCACATGTTCACCCTTTCTGTTTGCTACTAATATTAAACTAATAGGACAATTATTATATCTGGTGAGATAAGGAAGGACAGCCAGGCTATATTCTGCTCACAATGTTTTATGTGTGATTTCCCCAGCATCTAACCCCAAATGAGAGACCTTTCTATGCAGAAATACACTGGTGACCCAAGTGTGACAGGGCTGGGTGAGAGTGCTAGAGACAAATTCTCCTCTACAAGAACTAACCAGGCCTGAGCCTGCTTAGCTTCCTAGATTAGGCACAATTAGCCACATTCAGGGTGAAGAGGCAGACATTTATGTAGCTCAGCTTGGGACACCCAATAGCTCTCATTACTTGGTAGCTCTCATTGTAGTCTGGTCCACCACAGACCATGAGAGATGCTCCTCATGAGAGTGCATTGCACTGCAGTGAGCATCCTCATAATGTCCACCAGCACCTGGACTAAAGGTTCAGTGAGCAGCTGGCATTCTCCAGAGAGAGGAGGAGCAGCGAGGCCTGCACTCTGAAGGCATCACCAGAAGGGGCTGTGGGGTGGCCGCAGCAGGGATCCTGCAGGGATCTCGATAGAGGCTGTGCCTGTGCTCTCTCCATGCACATGCTTCCATTTCAGCTAATTCCATAGACGTGAATGCCTCTGAAGGCTCAGTGTGGAAAATCACAAAGTATAAAAGCCATCCACTCCCAGTTCTCAAGGCTTGCTGGGAGTCTCAGGAATGACAGAATAGTCATCTGCCCTCTGAGGAGCTACTTAAGACATGTGTTCCTTATGGCCAAGGCAGGGTGAAAGGGACTGGATATGCCCTCCTGCTTGGAAAAACTAAAGAATGGACAAAATGTGTGGATGAGCTTCCAAGACATTGAACATCAGGGAGCAAGAGACAGGGGCTGTGAGACACGGAAAATACATGACTAAGTCTGACTGCCTAAATTTGGCCTTTCCAAAGTTCCCAGGGAAACCCTGGCCAATTGTTGAGAAGTTGCTGAGAGTCCAGGAGGCATAAGAAGGCTAGACTTCCCATAGCAGAGGACACAGAAGAGACAGCTGTCAAACGGAGAACCCTGGAGAGCTCTGCAAGTCTGAACTGAGTATTAAAGTAATTCTAACTGCCAGACCGGGGGGGTGGGGGGAAGTAGTCAATTTAAACTAATCCAGAACTCAAGTGTTAGAAGGAGCAGACAAGGATGGTCAACCCAATACTTCACGTGTTCAAAAGATTAAGTAGACAAATAGAAGATGTTTTTAAAAGACCCAAAACTGATCTTCTAGAGATGAAACCATAATGTGTAGGGTTAAAAATCTGGTGGAATGGATTAGGCATTGCAGCAGAAAAAAACAGTGAACTCCACAACACAGCAATTAAAACTCTTCAAAGTGAAATACAGAAACAAAAGAAAAAATTTTTAAAAATATCAGTGAACTATGGTGCAGTTTCAGGAGGCCAAATATATATGAAATTAGAGTTTCCAAGAGAGAAGAAGACAGGAAAAGTACCTGAAGACATAAAGGCTGAAAGTGACCATGAAAATCATAAATGTGTGGATCCAACAAATACCATGGATGCCCTGTTAGCATCTACACTAAAGTGCACTGTGAGAAAATTGGCCAACACCAAGGATAAAGAGACAACCTGCATATGGACTGGGGAGATAGCTTAGCAGAATAAGTGCTTGCCTGACAAGTGTAGGGTCTTGAGTTCAATCCCTGGTACCACCAAAAAGAGAGAGAGGGGGAAGAAGGGAGGGAGGGAGGG